ATATGTAAAAAACTGTGTTGTGTCCAGTGTGCATAGCTTTAATGCGAAAAAGCTGTGTCCGAATATTTTGCACTTTTGCCATTTATTTGTGTCATGTTTGAGGTTTAATGGTAAGACTGAATCAAGACAGAATGGTGTGTGTATCAATGTGTGTATGTGTTTGTCTCATTATTTAAGTCCAGTGTGAGGTTGATCTCTGACCTTGGTGTACGAGAGAGTGCAGGTCGAGCTCCTTCCGCCGCTTAAATGCCTCCCCGCACACGTTACATGGGAATGGGTGGCTGGTGTGCAGCAGTCTAGAACAGAATAAAGCAAACGGTTATAAAATTCAGTGCAAATTAACTGATCATAACAAGCCTTAAGGCCTAGTCACTCCTGCATTTGCCAGCAAGTTTTCAAAAGCGATACAGGCTCGAGTTGATTGACGATAGTGTGATGAATAGAAAGACTGTGTTTATCACGACTGCCAATCAAGTTGCACTGTTTAAAGGGGAATTTCACTATTTTTTAAACCTTCTCTATAATTAAATGGTTACAATTCAAACAAAGTCATTCAGACTGGTTTGAGAAACTTAGAGTCAGAATTGTTCATAGGGGTGGTGATAGGAACCAGATGTCCACCTCTAAAAGCTCCTACACAGGAAGTTATTACATGGACACCTGATGTCTGAGACATTGTTTGGCAACATTTTTGAGAAGGTTTTGTCCTAAAACGATTTTAAAAAAATGCATTTTTGGTGGAGGGGTACACGTAAGGTGTTGTGGGGCAAAATAGTCCCCGGTGAAAACGTATTTTTTCAGATTTACCACTTTTTTACTATTATAAACATTCCATATAAAAACTTAAAAAACGTGTAGCTTCACTAGTAATTCTTGTTAGTAAATAAAATGCATTTTTGTATTGTAGACATCGCAATCGCCGGTTCCTATCACCACCAGGTTTCTCTGCAATGAACCATTTCACATCAAACAACTACGAATGACTTCATTTACATCTCAACAATTCATTTATTATGCACACCTTCGAGAAATCAGTTGGAAGTTCCTTTTAAATGTAAGAAAACAGATATGAATATCAGTAGAACAGGCTGAAGCACCTTCTGTAGAGAGGAAACTTTCAGTTTTTGTTGGAATGCCGTTGACTAATTAGTAACAAGAAACTGGAACGTCTTTAAAAAGAACAGACCTGTCATCATGCTGAACAGCTGGGAGCAGGCAGAGTGGGCTCAAGGCCTCGTTGGCTTTATCGAAAGAAAAAGCGTCCAAATATAGAACAAGTTTAAAAAAAATTGGGGGGAAAAACAAGCAGAGCATTTCTTCTATGCAGTTCAATATTTCAAGATTTGACCCACATGACAGGGCTTTAATTAGGCCATATTCCAGAGAAACACATGCATTTATTTTTTTTAAACCTGAAGCAATTTCCAGATGAAAAATAAAGTAATAATTCACAATTTGCTGGAAATCTCATACAGCTTTAAAGGCTTATTGTGTTGTTTTTAAAATGGCTTTTCAGGAAAAACGGATTTCGCTCTATGCACTAAAGTGATTAATCAACACCACTAAATTTTTTAACACATCTACACCATGAAAATAATTATTAGTCATTCATCATACATTACATATTGCATTCTCTTCATAAATAGCTTTAACAAAAAATCAAATGTGAGCAAATAAGATACATGTGATTAATCACGATTACATGCACAAAAATAAGATTATTTGCGATTAACTACACAAAATAATTAACTGTGATTATTTTAACTGCTCAACGGTTTTAATTCTTTCTGAAATGAACAAATTTCTTTTTTAATCTATAATTTTTGTCACTTCAGATATAATTTATCTGGTACCTTCTCTAATGGTGCTTAAAACAAACTCCTCTATTGCCTTTGGACAATCACTGTCCATGCACATGGGAATTAATTACTTCTGACCTCTATCACTCTGCCTATTATGGTACCAATATTTAAGCAGCCCTGTTGTACTGGTGAGAACAGATGGTATAAAAAAGTAAGAAGAAGATGTTTTTTTAACACTAGAGGTTTTTAGCACTCTGAGCACACAGCCTCTTTCCCCATTACCGCTCAGTAGCCGTAAACTCTGAACCCGGGTTAACCGACTGGAGTCCATCCTGGGTTTTAAACTGCTTTCTTTTCCGGCTCCAGAACCTGAAACGGGACCTCTGGAGGCCGGCCTGATTAATATCTCAGTGGCGCAGCTTGATGAGGTCATGTCTTGTAATGAGGCCGGTCAAGGGCAAAGCTTTGTTCGCTTCCTGCTCACGCCTTCTGCTTTGTCTGCGGGTCAGCTCATACGATCACTCATCAATCACTCTGCTGTATTAGGTCTATGTCAGAGCAGCTGTCATATCTGGACTAGAGGTTTTTGGGAAATGGGTCGATGCATTAGAAGATTGAGAACGTTGTACCAAAGAGGAAACTCTAGCAGCCTCATTCAGGTGAAGTGAGGATAATTTTTAATTCACTACTATATTCTTAATGTAGATCTAAACCAGACAAAGAGCAAGACATACTTTACTGCTACTGTTGTAGGAACAGCTTGAATGTGCACAGTCATGTTTGGTGCTAAGGGGAAAGGACAAACTCCTCCACCTGGGGCTGAAGTATCTCGGGATCTTGTACACGAGTGATGGGAAGAGGGATGGTCAGATCGGCCGCAGGTTGGGACAGGCGGCAGCAGTAATGCGGTCACTGTACCGTACCGTAGTGGTGAAGAGGGAGCTGAACCATAAGGCAAAGCTCTCTGATTACCGGTCGGTCTACATCCTCACCCTCACCTCTGGTCATGAGCTTTGGGTAATGACCGAAAGAATGAGATCGCAGATACAAGCAGCGGAAATGAGCTTTCTTCGCAGGGTGGTGGGCTACACTTTACTGACAGGGTGAGGAGCTCAGTCATCCGGAAGGAGCTCGGAGCAGAGCCGCTACTCCCGAACATTGAGAGGAGCCAGTTGAGATGGTTTGGGCATCTGATCAGGATGCCCTCTGGACGCCTCCCACTATGTGTTTACCAGGCACTGCCTACTGGGACGAGACCCCGGGGTCGTCCTAGGACTCACTGGAGGGATTAGATCTCCAAGTTGGCCTGGGAGCGGCTTGGGGTCTCCTGGAATGAGCTGGGGACAGGGTTGCCTGGGATTCTCTGCTCTCCCAACTGCTACCGTGACCCTATCTGGACTCAGCAGTTAATGATGATGATGATGTTTGGTGCTCCTTTTTATTTTTGCGCTGGATATACTATTATTAACCTAAGTTTCCATTACTTGATATTTACATTAGCCTTGTGGCTCCAAGGCAAAGCTAAAGAAGTAAACTTCAGACCACAAACACATCCTAGTTGATTGACTACATTCGGGATAAAGTGTAAAACTGTAAATCTAAAATATTTTTTGTAGGGCTATTCTGTTTAAGTGTCGTATGAAAACAGTCCACTCTGTGAAACACACACCTGTGGGTCTGCAGCTGTGAGTCCAACTTGAAGCTGGCCGGGCAGTCGGGGCAGGCGTGCAGACGGCCGTCGCCAAGGGAGCGTTTCCCCCTCCCCCGCACCCTGATCCTCTTGTCGCCATCAGCCTCCTCGTGGGTGAGCATGTGGCGCTTGAGCGAGGTGGGCTGGAAGAAGCCCTTGGCGCAGATGGGGCAGGAGAAGGCACGGGAGGCTCCGTGGGTCATGCTGTGCCGCAGCAGGCTGGCCGGCGAAGGGAAGCTCTTCTTGCAGATGTGGCAGTTGAAGAGCTTCTCGCCGGTGTGGTGGAAGACGTGCTCGCGGAGGAGGCTGCGGCGTGTGAAGCCGCGTCCGCAGTGCGGGCACTCGTGGGGCAGCGGAGTGCGGGACCAATCACGGCTCAGCTTGGCCGGCGCCTCGATGTTTGTTTCTGGCAACGCTCCGGAGGCTTCGGTCGAGCTTTGGGTGTGCCCGGAATCTAATGGGAAAGAGAAGTTGGAGAGTTAATCACGGCTAGTAGTAGCTTATGAACATGATTTTATATACCAGGAGTGCCCAATACGTCAAGGCATTTTGTAATGATCAAAATATTAAAGAGATTTAGAAATTCTGAAACACCTACTGACCTACTCTCTTACTGAGGCTACTGGAGTTACAAAACAAGCACGTGCTGTATGTGTAAGAAGGGACTGACCTGACCGTCTAAGCAGTATGATGTCCCTTTGTTTGGCTGGAGATGTAAAGATTTGACCGAGTCCGTGTCTGGCCCCAGGAGATGAGGGTAGTCCTTCCGGAAAGGTCCTGCGGTGTTCCCTACGATGGTACAGGAACTGAGTGGTGCTCATAAACTCTTCGCCACATTCGGTGCAAGTGTGGACGGCCTCCATCAGGCCATGTTCAGTACTGCGGTGCTGCACAAACTCGTACTTGCCCTTGAATGACGACCCACATTGACTACAAAGAAAATTCTGGCCTTCAGAACTTGTAGAAGGGGGTGCCACATCAATGTGTGCTTCATGTTCATCATTAGCCTCCAGGTTCACCTGGTTCTCTTCAACTACTTCCTCTACATTTTTGCCATCTTCCTCTTCTTCTGACACCTTTTCCATCTCCATGTTCACAATCCCATCAATTTCCATTTCTCCGCTGCATTCTTCCACAGTTTCTCCAGGTTCCTCGGCACTTTGTTGGCCCTCATCTCCTCTCGCTCTCTCAGGGTCCAGCTCCACCTCCACATGAGCAACAGGAACTCCCTCAGGAACGGTCTGCTCCAGGCTTGTGATCTCCAGCAGGCTCTGGCCTTCACCTGCGGTGGCCAGCAGTAGCAGGCCCTCTCCGGGCGCCTCCAGCAGGGCCGTGTTGAGCTGTGGCACAGGTGGAGGAGGCTCCCTCTGCTCCTCCTCCACTTGGGTACGGTGCTGTTTGCGGTGGTAGAGGAACAGCGTGGTGTTGATGAAGCCTTCTCCACACACTGTGCAGCGGTGGATGGCATCCTTCAGCCCATGTGCCGTCTTGCGGTGGGCAACCAGCTCAGAGACCAAGCTGAAACACTGGCCGCACTCCACGCAGAGCAGGCTGGAGGGAGGCTTGGCCTTTTTTTGGCTTCTCCGTCTTACAGGAGGGCTCTGTTCCTCCACCGATTCGGCAGCTGGAGCCTTGGAGATCTCAGGTTCAGGGTGCTCAATGCTGCTTTGAGCAACATGATGCTGGGAAGCATCAGCCTCCACAGCTTCTTCTGGGTTTCTCTCCATTAACTCTTCGTTCCCTTGAACTGAAGTCTCCATGGGCTCTTGATGCTCATCTAGAAGTACAGGAGAAATGGGCAATTATGGTTTTATAGGTATAAAAAGATATGAAAAGATATGGATTGTCACACCGTGTCAGTGAAGGATGCAAAGATCAGTACCATCAAGAACTTTGCATCTGCAGTGAGAAGAATGAGAAGCTTTCAGTTGCAAATCATGTCTCACCACATTTGGTTTAAGATAAAGAAGGAACATTTTATCATGTATTCACTTTGATTTAAATAAGCACTAAAGCTTCAAAAGCTTGTTATATTAATATTTTGTGTTACTGTACATGCAAAAATAGTTTATCTGATGTACATTTACAGTCTTATAAATCAGACATCAAAGTGTATTTTTTAGACGTTATCACTATTTCTAAAAGTTACATTTTACATACTGTAAATTCCATACTATAATTACCAATTTACAATATTTTTGGATAAGATTTGATCACTACTCTTTATATGTGAAGCATTCTGGATGTCAGTTTATAATTGGATTATTATAATTTTATTCTGAATGTTCTACAGCTTTTTCAGCCCTTTTAGATCATCCATGGCTCAGTTCATTATTCTGGATACATCTAACATTTCTTCACTTTTTACAACTTCCTACTTTAATGACAGCTGTAAAACTGCACAGGACTCACATACCCAATGCATTTTGCGGTGACACTTTATTTTGAGTGGCCCTTTTTAAATGAAACAAACACTCAACAGACTCTCAGTAACATGTCAAAAACATATGAGGGTTATTAGTATTAGATTTTGGGTTGAGGTTAAGGTTAGGGTTAGGATTAGGGCCAGGGTGAGGGTTAGGTATTGGGTTGAGGTTAAGGTTAGGATTAGGGCCAGAGTTAGGGTTAGGTATTGGGTTGAGGTTAAGGTTGGTAAGGTTAGATGTTGCATAATGGAAGTAACATATTAACAACACATCTATTTAAATGTAAGTAATGTACCAACAGAACATCTACAAGATATTTACTATTTACTGCACTGATATGTTATTGATGTGTTACTGATAATGTGTTAAGAGTTTATTAATCATCTACAAAGGACCACTCCAAATAAAGTGTTACCCATTTTGTACATTTGTCCAAAACTAAACTGGTTTCATAATGTTCAAAACATTGACTCCAAACTTATAAACAGCCCTACCGTTTCAATGCCGGTTTTGACAAGGTTTCGACCACTTGGTCTTGGCGGAATTTCCAGCGCCATCTTAAGGACTGTTCCATTACTTTATTAGCTCAAGAGGAAGGTTTCAGATGAGCCCTCGGAGGAGCGAGGGATCAAGCGAACCCCAGTGTTGACCTTAGCAGCGGAACTTGCCCAGAAATCATTGCGACCTGACACATTTCTTATTTTAAACGTGAAAATAATGACAGACAAAACTACTCCACCTGTTTTACACAACAGCTGATACACCTTCAACACTTTCTTCTGCTAGATGGCTAGTTAGCTGGCTAGTTAGCATGCAAAAGGCTACATGGCTAACAAGAACAAAACAAAAAGCACTACACCAGAGTTCTACTCCAAGTTTATAGCCAGACAAAGCAATTACACACGTTATTTACATTATGCTCAAACTTCTTAAAAAAAGTTTTGCATAGCAAAGTTTGCATCAATAGCCAATTAGCTCACTGAGTCTAACCTGCAGAGGGCAAGCGCGTTCTGTTTGAATAATCAGATGGTGAGTCGAAGCAGGTGAGCTTAAGTTAACCCCTTAAAATCCCAGGCTTATTACATACTAAGGCTTATTATTCAGTAACTACAGGGTCTTCAATGCAAACTGGCTGAGCTATTCTTAGGTTACAGAAGTGTAATAACACTCCCTGGCCATGTACTGAAACAGGGCTAGCGACTGCCAATTTTTGAGGCATGATGTAACTGAAATGTGAACCGGATGGTGGAAAACACTGTGATGTAAACTGCAGTTCATATTTTCCCCTCATGTACTCACCTCCTCCCTCTGCTTGCTCTTGCTCTCTGTGATCCGTGTTCTCACTTTCTGACTGCTCAGGAGGTTCTAGCATTGACTCTGTAGCCTCTGCCTGCTCTTCTCCAGGCCCGGGTCCCGTCTCCTGACAGCAGCCCATCTTGCGGTGCTGCTGCCACAGCGAGAGCGCATCAAAGAGCAGTTCGCAGTCAGCACACTGATAAAGAACCCGCGGAACATCAGCACCGGACAGAACCGCTTCATGCTCCTCTACGACGCCTTCCACCACTTCAGAAACAGCCACTGACTGAGAGAGGATACAGAAAACATACAGAGGGGACAGTTAACAGCGCAGGGCCATTTAGGATTCAGGTTTCTCGCCCCAATCATGAGCCATGTGCCTTAATACAGTGTGTATTAATACTTAATAATGTGTTGAAAGCATCAGTGCAACATATTCACATTTGGACATTTGCGTAATTATTATTTTCTTAATGACCAATTTTCTTGGCTCCCGAGTGGCGCAACTGTCTAAGCGCTGGCCCTAACATCAGGAGATCGCGAGTGGCCGTCTGTGGCCAGGAGTCCAAAAGAGCACAACTGACCTCGCTCTCTCTGGGTGGGTAGGATGACCCCCTGGCTCCCCCCATCACTCAACGCAATGCTCGTCAATGCAGACGTCTGTTAGCTGATGTAAAAGATTTGGTGGTTGGCGTTTTCCTCCAAACACGTTCGGCTGTCCAATGATGTTGCGTTAGTGGCAGTTCGAAAAGATGCGGTGGTGCTTCACATGTCTCAGAGGAAGCCTGTGCTAGCCTTGGCCCTCCTAACGCTGGTGGTATTGTGTGATCTGGGGAGTCCTAACTAGTGGGTAGAATTAAAAACAGCTACATTGGGGAGAAAACTGGGGAAAAACAAACAAACAAAATTCTGGTGTCTTTCATTTTGACTTATGATCCAATCTGAATCACCAATTTTCAGATTTTTCCTAACTAGTCATGTTACACCCCCCCGCAACACTCTCAGATTTCAGCTAGTTTAGCCGTGTTTTGCTGGAAGGCAGCTAGATTAACTGCCACAGACACAGTGAAGTTCTTTTATTACCTTGCAATCAATGCACCTCAATGCGGTGAGTTGTGGATAATGTGTTTTTCTGCCTTTTCTAATTTAACAGCATTCTTGTCCTGCTGGACATCACAGCTGCATTTGACTCTTGTCTTTTATGAGTCACTGACAGCAGTGTGTGAGAGCTAATGGGATGCAGTCAGCCTCAACTACCGTCACCTATGGCAGCGGTTCCCAATCCCAGTCCTGAGTCCATTTACATGCTTTTTCTCATCGTGCACATCTGATTCAACTCATTAACTGGTAAACAAACGCCTCATTGGCACTCAATCAGGTGTAGAGAAAACACAGAGCACGGGGTCACCAGCAATGGGATTGGGAAACCCTGACATATGGTGTTCCACAGGGGTCAATACTTGGACCACTTTTATTTAGTATTTATTTGCTTCCTCTTGGTTATATTATTTATCAGCATAACTTGAGCTATCATTGATATGCTGACAGCACACAAATTTACATCTGCCTGATTATCCATCATCATGAAGCAGTTGCAGGATATTAGCTTGCGGATGCAGAGTAGTTTCCTTAAATCTGATTCTGATCGGCCTTGTTAGCTCACTATGTTACCCAGTCTGTTGACAATGCTAGAGTTAATCCATCTGTACAGGTTAAAAATCTTGGGGTTTGGTTTTGGGTCGAGGTCACTTTCGTTTTAACAAAATTAGACAACCTGCATTCTTTCATTTGATGAACATCATACGTTCTTACATTTGTAGATGCCGAGCAGCTTATACATGCATTATTATGCATTAATATATTATTATATTAACCCTAACCCTAACATTATTTATGTCAACTCTACGACAGAGATATAAATAAAGAAGGCTTAACAAAGGATCAGGCTTAATATAGGCAATATTGATCCATTATAACATGCCTTAAACTTCCCCAATATCACATTATCTCACTAGAAACATGCACGACCAAACAACTGAGAATTATTTTTTAGATGCTTTTAAGTTACACATTGTCATCTTTACTCAACTCAAAGTTGTTTTCCAACTCTCAACAGTGTTTTCAATAAACAAAATCATCTTATATGAAGGCAAATCTCTTTAAAGACTACTGGAACCCTGCCTAAAACACTCCGGGGTAAGAATCTCTCCTTTGTGTCGGAATTGATTTCTTCACGCTGGAAACATCCTGTGTACGCGCTGCTCACTTTATTTTCAACACATTCTAAAAGCAAATCTCAATTACCTTTTTTTGGCTTACAGCGCTCACAGCTGCGGCAAAGACGCAACCCTCAAAAGGCCGTTCCCCGTCGCACGCTGCTTCGCTTTGTGATCGCGTCTCTCACAGAGCATAAACAAACTCTCGGCTTTCTCTCGTGTCACATTCAATAGCGCTGGAACTCCGGCGTCTCTGAGAAGGCCTCAGCAGGAGGAGGCTGTATTACAGTAATCCGCCAGAATGGCCCGCGACATCCCCTTTATCTGACGAGGCCAAAACCATCTGCCAGCTGCGCGTGTTGTGCCAGCATTTAAAATACGTCTAAGCGTTCATAAAGAGATCCTGATGAAGGGCTGTTTAGATCAGGGCAGAACACGATGACTAGAGAAGTGGGGGTTCAAACAGGACCTGGCTGATGTGAAAATCATCGCTGACTCGGATTATAAGCTAAAAATTTATTAAAGGTGAAGTAGTTGATTTATTTTAGAAACATTTTTGTTATATTTCTTCAAATACTCTTTACATCCCAATAGCAAAAAAAAAAATCGTTAGGTGTGGAAGCTACAGGACTGTAAAAACCCTGTCCAATCATTTCATCTGGACCGAGTTCGCAAATGACTCCACACATGCGCAAATGAGGACTTACACACACACACAGCTAAAGGGTTGCAAACTAGGTTCACAAGACTGGCAGAGAAAGTTACACAGGTACCTACAACAGCTTGCACTGCTAAAGAAAGAAAGCAAAGAAAGACAGAAATAGAAAAGGCTTTGAACAAAAAAGGTTGGATAAAGCAAGAGGTCAAACCAGAGTGACCATCGGTGTGGCTTTCCAACAGTGACTAAGCCGGAGGCAGTTGAAAGGCCTGAAAAGTGACACCAAGTTTGCTTTTTTTCTGTTGGACTGGTAACTATCTGGTTTGCTTCATTTATGGGGGAATTTGTTATTTTCCTGAATTATGCAGCTACAGTATGCATTAGCTCAACGCTAACATGATGTAAGCCAGCTAGCTATATAACCTGTGTAAGTGTATATAATCAACAATGTCTGCATTATAGTGAGGTCATACGTGTTCATGTGTTTTGGGGGAGTGGCTTTGGAAGGAGGACTGAAAGCAGGGGAGGGATTTTTTCAAAAACTAGCTTGAGAGCTCAACAGGCTGCACCAGCAGTGGTGACAGCAGGTTGGGGTTGGAGGGGTACCATGGTTCCATCTTCTGGAACCGTGATATGAGACCGTGGACAGCTGTATGTTTCGGTCTCGGTTTCAGAATCATTACACCCCTATTTACTGTAGAGTTGGTGTGTGTGTACAGATACACATATATTAGATACACACATGTAAATTATATATCACACACACTCGTATTTATATTACTGAATGTATGTATATTATAAAAAGTATTAAATTATTTCCTTTTTAAAATTGTATTTTTGAAGTATTTTAGTAGCATAATATAGCATTTAACAAATGTACATAAAAATTTTAATAAATAAATAAATAAAAAATTAAAGAAATACTTTCTACCTTCTTTACTTGTATACCTCAGCCCATCACAAACATCGCACTTAGGCCCCCCAAAGACAAAAAGTTTGGGCACCCTTTTGGCCTAGTTCTACATTTGTTGATGATGTGTGTCCATTTGAATGTTTTTGATTCCATGTCATTCTCACACTTTTTTTGGCTAAAATTTTATCTGTCCAAAAGACTTAACTAATTAAAAAACGTACTTCTTAGCCATATGGTCTGATCGATTTGAAAAATGTCTTGATATTTATGGTCACCTTCGCTCAGAGAACATATGACGCTTAAACTTTCAGATATGGAGACTAATGTGTTAATCCAGCACGTTTAATTAAATAGTCCATCAGAGACTGATATGATTGGGAGTTTAAAAAAACGAAGTTGAAACTACCCAAGTCTGAAATGATATAAATACTGTGGTAATATAAGTATATTATAAATGTCATTTTCAACAATCTGGCTGCAGATAAAATGTATAAAATGATTCTGATCTGCTCGCCCTGTACAACTTCATAGCTTTCAAATCATTAGCACGAAGCTGTAAATGTTAGAGGTGTCCAGAATGATGAACAGAGCTGTAGACGACTCTGCAGAGCATTAAGAATGAAGTTCTAATGAAATTAATACCCAGAACTCATCCTATTTCAAAAGGTGTTGATCAAATTTTAAGGCAGATAACCTGGAAAAAAAAGTTGATTTATCATTTTAATTTCATCACTGTACCATTTTGATGAAGTGTGTAAGATTTTAAACCACACTGTTAACGGTCTTACTGTATATGATGTAGTTAATACTGTTAACACTTAAGAATGAAGCGAACGTCAATCTGATCAGCGAATAAGTAGATAAATGTGCTGAAGTCACTCATTCAGAAAATGATAAATCATGGCTTTGTAGCGAGTGTATCAACGTTAGGACACAAAGGGGAATTCTCAAGCGTGTAATTTTTTCCACTATAGTGAAGAGGCGAATTAGGAACTACGCAGAACCCTGAATTACCGTCTTACTTACATTTCAATTTCCAATTCAAAAATCTTTTCGGCTTAAAAGCCGCGCTTCCATTTTCGAGCCTATTTCAGATAATTACAGCCGTGCGTTCAAGTACCATTTGGAGAGAAAATCTGATTCAATTAAATAGAGGCTTTCATTGGTATCGTATGTAATTACCTCGGGTAATAACGCTGCCTAAAGCTATGCGGAACTGCAGCAACGGAGTTCGAATGAGAGCAGTCAGACACCAGGGAAGGAGAGGATGAGGGTCAGACTAACAATGGGTGAGAACTTTCCAGGGAAACACGGCTGGATATCCCCACTGTCCTTTTAACATCAGAGCAGTGGACGAAGGCAGTAATCTGGGGGATTAATTAGCAGAAATGTCTTTTCATACACGATTATGACTGATATCTGGCAAACAGTCGTATGAACACCCTCAGTCAAATGACATGTTTTATTAACACATGCGTTTAACATACTGGGGGAAAAAT